ATTGTTGGGATGAGAATGCTAGCCTGTTAACCTGTAAGGTGTGTGTTACATATGTGCATATAAGGTGAATAGGAGATGGTAGTACCAAGATTACAGGTAATATATCCAACTGATCGTCGAATAATTGTTATCGGAACACAGGCCTATTTTTCTAAAAACGTCTCCGGTGGGATTTGAACTCTAGACCTGCCGCTTGGGGGGTGACAACTTAACCACTACTCTAAGTCACCACACCCTCAAAAATCTTGTAGTATTAAATGGAATGGACCATTTAATTAAAGTTCGAAGAATAAATTATCGTTAAGAAAGTCTACTAAAACTAACTTAGTTGCATTTTGATAGCTAAATAAGATATTGACCATGCTTCTAGCACAGTCATCTGTTGTTTCATCAACAATAAATAAAACTGGCTTGTTACAAAATTCTAATTTAACAGCTAAAATATGTCTTTCATATACTGGCTCTAAGTAACTATGTCTTAATGATTCAACCGAAGGAATAAACCCACCATTGATAAAATTTTTCTTAAGCCATAGACGTAAACTATCAACCTTTTCTAATAGTATATTGGCATTTACGAATGTCTCAACTAAATCTAAAATTATATCCTTTTTTTTTTGTGTTGTATCTATTGATGTATATAATATTTGTTGTTTTAATATTATCTCACACTGTTCTTTTGCTTTTTTATTTGCAATATGTCTCATACTACTTATGTGGGTTGTAATGGTTGATTTTACACTATAGTTAATAGGTATGTCACAAAATCGACACATTAAAAATCCATAATCCTCAAAAAAATAGTCCGGGAATTCATTTGCATGGCTTATTGCATTAACTTGGCGTGTTGGTAGCATTTGAAACAAACTATTTAAAAAAAAACTCTAATTGATTATATAGTTCAGACTATACGTTACAAAAAAAAAAAAAATTTTAAATTTAAATATAATATCTTACGTGATAATTTTTTTTTTTTTCAAAAAAAAAAACGTCAAGTAGTCATCGTTAATTTAATAGTTTTATCTTGCTTAACAGGAGGAACTGTTAATACGTCACAAAATCGTTATACAATTGATAAAAATTTTTTTTATATTATTTTACAATACTTTTTTGGAAGGCTCGCTTGACTTATCTTTTCTATGAATATTGAAAATAGTTAAACAAACATGAAGCTCTCACTTTGCTTTACAACATATTTTTTAAATCCCCTTAAATCCCATGGTTTCGTCTTTTTGTAAATTTTGCAATTTGATTGGTTGACTAATCCCGTAGTGATATTTTGACTAGTCGATACAATGAGTGATCTGTGTAACAGAGAATGAAAATCATATCTATATTTGGACGGTTTCTCCTGTTATCTTGCATTTGCTTATGGCTTGTTCATTACAAAAAATATATTGATTCTTTTCAAATAACTATGTATTTGAAATATCTGTATTTTAAAATTCACCCATCCTTTAAAATTGACAATTTGGTCAGAAATTGTATCAGCATAAATTCTTTATATACGTAGATTAAGTTACACAAAATTTTACGCAAATTCCGAAATTTGATTGGTGTACTAAAATAGCTACCAATCATATTTTATTGTGTAACTACAATGCATAAAAAAGTCGTAAAATTGTTTTATAGAGCAATATCCACTAAAAATTGTGATTTATTGTTTTATAATCTTTTCGAAATTTTTTAGGGTCCCTGGCCCTGGCGTAGTCGTCAAAAATAACTCAAAATTTAGTCTATGAAACTGCCTTCTGCGCACTAACAAAAAGTTTTCCTTGCGAAATTTTTGTATAAATATGATCTTCTAAACCCAACTTTTTAGCAAGACCCTAACCCTAATTTTTATTAGTTTCAAATAAGATCACATGATGTGCTACTTGATCTTGATCCTTACCTACTTTAGATAGGCAGCCAATAAAGTTTCAAGATTAACAATCGAGCGGATATTTAATCTAGTGCTAGCAATACCAGAGAGACTCTAGTTCATTTTTCAAAAATGATTAGTTCAGAATTAACTAAACTACTTATATTTATATCTCTACCTTTCCTTATTGACAAAGGTCGAGAATACATGAGAACGCGTGAGCTGAATCGCAACAATTCAACCCGACAAAAAACAATATTTGATCTTTCAATTATATATCTTTTGGTCTCTACGATTTTGATTCAAGTTTATTATACTTTCTTGTCACCACCTCCTAACGTTTTTATATCGGGTAATATTTCACCCAGCGCTTCACCCAGCATTATACGTACGTTTCTTTTGACAAAAAATTCACAATTAACGCCCACAGACAACCTCCTGCTAGAAAAACTATCATCCCTTGAAAATCGGTTGATTTATGCAGCTTACGGACAAGAGGCTTTACTTGAATGTAATTATTGTAAAAACGTTACAGATTATTCCATGTTTATTGTTCCTAACGTGGTTTGGTCTTATGTTATGATGCTTACGGTACTTGGAATTTCCACTATGACTAAACGTAAATCACATTGGAGAATTTACGGTGTAATATTTCTTGTCGGATGTGGATTTATTGAACTCTACACTTTATTAACAACAGACATTAGAAAAAACGCGGCACAGGGTGTTATAGAATTTTTATATAGCAACACAGACTATTATAGAAGAATAGCATTCATAGGATTATCTCTTGCTGTACTTTCCTTTAACAAAGCAGATGAAAGATCCGATATGGAGATAATACAAGAAATTAAAAGAAATCAAGAAATAATAATACATTGTATTAAAGCAACCGAACTTCAACGTACAGCCGTGTTGAGAGATAATAATTTGAGAAGAATTTTTGAAGAATTTTACAAAAGATTAGAGACAGCGGAGAATGATGTTGTGATGGATCAGGGATACAAAGCAGCAAGGAATAGAACTTTGGGTAAGATGAATATGCCAAGGTTGTTAAAGGAAGCAGAGATTTACGTTAGTAGCATTACCAGGATGAAGGAAGCAGATACTGATAACGAATTGGTTGCCGGGATTCAAAGCTCTGCTACTGCTGGAAACAGCTTATACGAGTAATAATAATAATGTGTTAATAAGTCTATTACCATAATTTGCTAAAACTCTATATCATGAAAATTTTATCAACATAAGAACAAATAATTCATGATCAAAGGCCTGAGAGTTAAAAAAAAACAATCAAATAAATAAAATCATATTTATTGTAATTCCTTCTATAATCCTAAATAATATCACGCAAAGGTTTAATTATTATAAATCAATTATTCTTTTCAGTGTATTTTAATAATTTTCCTATATATAGGTTGCATCCAAAATTGGAATTCGGAATATTGACCAAATTAAAATTCTAACTTTAAATTCCAATTCTGGTCAAAGTTCCTATTTCGGACTGTCCGATTCAAATCAGGAAAATTCCAATCTGGGATACAACATATGCATATAATAAGGTGAACAGATATATTTCAATTCATCCTAATCATAACGATAATATTTTTGTCGTATTATTCGGATGATATCTCGTGACCAAATGATTGAATTCGTGTGTCTTGTACCATTTAATTTTAGCGAGAGAAATCGAATAGTATAGTCAGTTATAATTAACGGAATTTTGGTCTATTAATAAAATTTTAAAAAAAATCCGTTATATGGTTTTTTTATTAATTAGCATATAACGAATCTATAATACATTTTTAATTTTAAAATACTTATCCATTATATACATCCAAGAATTGACTATAAAAATCGTTCAATGATCAATGGATTATTAAATTAACCTCAGTTCCTCAAAACACCACTTAAAATATTCAAAATTCAATTTCTCGTATGATGATTTTCTTGATCATTACTACTATTTAATAGTTAAATTTATTCCGAATTGATTGTAGGTTTTACGATAAATAGACAAATTTTCGTTCAAAAATAAAAGCTTCGTCAAAATCTCCTATTCACCTTATATGCACATATGTAACACACACCTTACAGGTTAACAGGCTAGCATTCTCATCCCAACAAT